TTTTACATGCAAGGATCTCAAGGGTCTCGAAACCATAAATACTACCTAGCGTAACGAATCAAACGACACATACAAATAAAAGAAAAAATACATGCAAAGAAATTTTGAAAAAAAATTTCGTAACACCAAGTGCGTTTAATATATTGATCTACATACTCATAAATTATACTTTTGATATCTATATTGACCACTAACTGGCGTGCATGTGTATTCTTCTTGCATTTCTTAGCTGATATATAAAGAACCAAAAAACTAGCCTTATATAGCTTATTTGGCGATTTAGATAAACGTCAAACTCCATAAATCGCCGCGATATTTTAAACACATGACCATGAATGTCACACGAATATGTATATTGCAAAGCACGTGCAGGTTTATAAGTGGACTTAATAGAGTTTATATTTTTAAATCAAGATCTTTAATTTCCAGCTTTAGTCGCGATAATTAAGTTTCGAAAAAAATAATTTGAATTTTTAAATTGTACAAATGCAGAAATATAGCTCGGAGCAAATAAAAAACTTTTTTGGGAATTTATTCAATGTGCGTTGTACGGAAACTATATGAACTGGAATTTGAAGTATTTGTATACTAATATGTTTGATAACACCCTTTGTTATCGTACTTATGTAAACAGATACCTGCTAAAATTACTTTTTTGATGTCTATATCGATAGCTAATGGATTAAAAATTAATCCCGCCTTAGCCAACAACCTTTTATGGTAGGTTTTCCTATAAAACGGAATTGCATAGTGCAGTTGTGCGTTAAATTTGCCCTTATGAATTTTGTTATTAATAATATTAATATAATAGACATGTAACAAAAATAATAAAAAAATAATACAAAGCATAAAAATATTATAAAACTGATGCTATAATTTGGAGACTTTTAATATTAAATCCAATAATTTTGATTATTAAATCCAGCTTTAAATTTTTACTTCATATAAATACTAAAAATTCTTATTTGTACTGTATACTAAAAAAGCAAACTAGAATGTGATCATGGCTTTTTTTTTTTTTTTTTTTACCATAAATAAATATTTCTTGGCGACTACAGGATCAAATCTGATGAAATGTTTTATTCGAATTTTAAAGAGTTATATAATTATTTTAATTAAGAAATCGAATTTGATCATGTAGTTATTGAGAAACCTTCTTTTAAAAAGGATCGTCAAATTTATATAGACCAGCCAATCAAAATTGAAAATCTGCGTTAACTAGGTTATTATTAAAAAAATAAAACGTGGCTATGTTTGTGGGCTTAACATTTTGATACACAGTAATAAAATATTGTGTTTGCTAAGTTTCTAGGATAAACGTTCTTAAAAATATATAAATAAACGTCAAACTTTAAATCTGGGTGCATCAAAGTTATTAATGCCTTGTAATAGCAATTATGAAGTACTGTACATATGTGCGAGGGTGGAATTCTGCCACAAATAGAAAATGTTTTACTTTCGCTCTACAAAATATTATAATAAATATTTATAAATATGTAGTTATCACCCGTTGCATGCTGTGCGTCTATACATATGAAAAAAAAGAAAAGCCATTCAAAATGACCAGAATGTTTACGAAAATAAAATTTTAATTTAAAAAAAAATCTTTAAATAATTTTATTTCATAATTTAACATTTGACATAAAAAGAAAAATATGGAGTCATCCACATCTTCTACGTCAAAACCAAAACCCACATTCCAATTCCAATCCCAAAATGAAAATACGATAGTCCACGTCCCATCTAGCCGTCACAGCCGTCAACTTTCAATGGAAAGGCCACATAATGGTAAAATAATTTCCAAGATTATATGCTCTCCCAGAATGAAATATGTGGGTACATGGAGTAACGACGATAAATCTGTCGTTTTATGGTCGATAATCACTGGACAACAGCATTTAAGATACGAAAACGAAATTTCAAGAACGAGCATTACAGAACCTGTTACATTATCTGCTGTATCTGATAATATGCATGTCGTGATAAAGACCAATTCCTATCACCTTAATTTTGGTAAATATGTGAATTTCAAAGAATCATTTATTTTAATCATTTGATTAACATTTCTTTCGTTTTATATCAGAAATATTTGACGTATCGACTAAACAAAAACCACTGCTTCAATTTCCAAACTCACGAAACATCATCGATCGATCTGAATTCACTAGAAATGGTGACTTTGTGGTGATTTCAAATTTTCCATCATACAGGGCTTACATCTTTACACCAACTCCACCAGATTCAAATTCTTTAGTCGAATGGATACTTACATCTATGCTTGAATTGAATTACTTTAGTGATTCTTTCATAACAATACAAGGAAATTTAATTTTATTTAATAATAAAACTTTTCAACTTACAAGTTGGATTATCAAAACCCGGGAATTTCAAGCAAATGGCCCAATTGATTGGGGTTATGTACCTAATCTT